CCACGCCCCGGCAGCCCCATTCTGGCTGGGACAGGCCTGGATCCCAGGGAGCTGCCTCTGTCCTGGGCACTTGAGACTGAGCAGAGATGTCACTGCAGCTCCTCAGTCTGTGTAATGGGACTCACTCCATTAGTTTTTCATTTGCTTGCTGAGGATTCAGCTCCCTGTTCCCTCTGCTGGGGCTGCTCCATTCCCAGCATCAGAGACACAGCAAGGAAGGTTTTAGTGAGGAGGAAGCAGAGGAGGCAGCTACTAGCTTTGAACCCCCGAGGGAAGCTCCCTCCCCTAAATGCAGCCTCCACTCCCCAGCCAGAGTAGGACAAGCCAATTAAGAAAAGAGAGTAGGAAATGGCATTGGGTGGGGTAGCCCCATCCCCAGTCTAGAGAGAAGGGAGGAGTTAGCCTCACAGGGAGAGCATCTCCCCAACAGAGAAAGCAGTGAGCAGCTCCAGCGGGAGAGCCCAGCCTGGCCCAGAGGAAAGGCCGGATGTTAGAGAAACGTGATTGGGGAGACCCTCTGCACCAGGGTAAAGCAGAGGGATGTGTCAGCCTCAGGGCAGAGAGCTCTGTTCACAGGCTGCTCAGGGAGAGTTTTTCTGTTCAGCAGCCTGGGCATGAACTCAGCACTAAGGTTTGTGTCAGGAGTGTTTGTCTGTAGGGTGACCAGATGTTCCGATAAAATCGGGACTGTCCCAATATTTAGTTGTTTGTCCCACGTCCCGATGGATGTATGGTTGGAATGCCATTGGTCCTGATATTTTGCACTCCGGCATTTTTTTTTTCCTTCGGTGGCACCCACTCTCCCCCACGTGTCCCTATATTTTGTTCTTGTCATCTGGTGACCCTAGTTCATGTGACTTCAGTGTGGGAGCTCCTCACTGTTCAGTGTGTTGTTTTGAGGGCTGTGTGTGTCATGGTCGGTGTCAGTTTTGCTGGTAACTTTAGGTACAATCTCATGAAGACATTTTGTGATAATTTAAAGACAATCTCCAGCTGCAATCTCACCGTCTCTGAATGTTCCTAGGAAGCCTCCTCTTTTCATCTCTAGTGCATACGGCAGAGTGTCTGGAGGGGGGAAGGAGAAAGGAGATGAGATTTCAGCCTTTCATATTTATAACAGTGTCCCCACTCTCAACTCCTAGAACTGTCTTTTAATTATGACAGAGAAACATTAAGATATTTAATATAAAAAGGTCTGAAACCGTCTCTTTCCTCTCTCATCCAGGCATCTCCCAGAAATGGAACCAACATCCTTACAGCCTCACAACCATCCCAGGATAGACAATCTGTCAGTGAGATTTACTTTCCCCTCATCAACCCCTCCAACCCTTCAAACTCCAGTTGTTTGTCTCATTCACTTACTGCCTTTTGTCATAACCTAGACCCAGAGCCTGCAAAGACTTTGACGTAAAAGTAACTTTACCCACTCGGGTCCCTTTGACACTAACGGGATATTGAGAGTTTCCTAAATCCTGGCTCTAATTGTGAGCTGTTGGGTCTGTTTACTCAGCGTCTCTACAGAGAGCAGCAGGACGGGGCCTTGTCCTCCACAGGCAGAAATAGAAATAATAGTAAAAGCATTTTATAAAATGTGGAAATTGAAGTGGGGAGAAGGTTGACACAATGGGACATATTCATCCCTATTACAATAGCCCCCATCTGTCTTGGCCAGCGTGCAGAGTTTCAGAGTCCCAACTTTACACTGCCCATGTCATTCTGTCCCTTGTCTACCCCCCCTTCCTCTTCCACCCGCCCTCACCACCCCTACCCCATTCCCAGCCCTCTCAGGAACCCGCCTTGTGCCTGCAGCTGCTGTGGAGGAGGCACAAGAGGCTCCTGTACTGGAGGGATCCCTGACCATGGGGGAGGAGTTTTCTCCTTCCCTGCAGCCCATTTGGCCCAGACTAGCTGCCGTATGGGACCAAAGCGCAGTGATGGGCTGGGTGTGGCTGTGAGAAATGTGCCCCATGGCTGGTGATGGGACAGTAGACGAGGCCAGTTCTGAGTTATAGAGAGTTCTTTGCCGCGTGTCTCACTGTTGGGTCTTGCCAAAATGCTCCGTATTCAACTGACCACCGTATCTAGGGTGAGGAAGGAATTTCCCCCCAAGTCAGATTGGCAGAGAGCCTGGGGGGTTTTCTGCCTTCTCTGCAGCGTGGGGCACGGGTGATTTGCAGATTTAAACTAGTGTCAAAGATGGATTCTCTGTAACTTGAAGTCTTTAACTCATGATTTGAGGACTCCAGTAACTCAGCCAGAGGTTGGGGTAAATTGCAGGAGTGGGTGGGTGAGGTTCTGTGGCCTGCAATGTGCAGGAGGTCAGACTGGATGACCATGATGGTCCCTTTTGGCCTCAAAGTCTATGAGTCTGAGTCATTTCTTTCTTTAACAGTAATTGTAATGGCAAGACATATTTTTGGTAGAAATAAAGGTTTGAATTAATCAACCTGAGTGACTTTGACCCCAAGTGCATGACATTCTCACCCAACAATGAAATAGAAGCATCATCTAATTGTGAACCAACTGGCCAGAGCCACTCTCCTCCCTCAGTCTCAGCAGCTCATCCCAATTTCCATTCCTAGATCCCTTCTAGGTACCTTTGAACTTCCCCAGAGTCTCCAATAGCACAATCGTTTTCTGAGAGAAACCACTGACTCGCTCTTCCAGTTCAGGAGAAATCTCCTCTGGCTGCTGGAACTTCCCCTTCTCACACCTAGAGAGAAACAATTTCACATGATTATATTTCACTGTGTGACTCGTTATAAGTTCTGGCTAGTGAGTCGCTGCTCTAATGGGCCTGGAGTTAGAATTCCTCGACTTCTCCCAGCCTCAGAGCAGGTGCAACACAGCCCATGGCTGTGCAACCTTCCCTTCAAAGGACTCATCAATATTCTTCAACTCTGGTCTGGAGAGATCAGCTCTGGGGACAAAAAGGGAATTGAGTCTCTGTGGCCAATTCACTCCTTGGCCTCCATGCTCTGAGGGACAGGTGGTTCCCAGGTGAAGTGCTGTAGAAATCTGCCCTCTAGGAACTAGACTGAGACACCAACTCCCCCCTCCACAGCTCATTCCACACAGGTCTCCAAACAGCCCTCAGGTGGGAAAGACTCTTGGTTGCTGCTGCCCTGGGCTGAATAGTGACCAGTGCCCCAGCTGTGACAGGCCCATATTCCATCCCCAGAATCCCGAGGCAGCCAGTCCCCCAGGGATCTGACATCTGTAGGAAATACTTGGTCAGTCTTTCCCACTGAATGGAGAATTCCAGCATCTCCTATACAAGGGTGAGACCCTCAGGATGAAGTTGATCAGAGAGATTCGTATCCAACATGTGACCTTCCCCACACATTTTGCTGTAGAGCCCTGGGGAGATGCAGTGCTAACATCACCACCAAGCTCTTTCCCAGCGTTGTGAAGTGTGAGGGGGAGTGAGAGAGAGCCACGTACCTGCGCAAGGTGCTTCTAATATCCTAGAAGAGAGAGAGACAAAAGAATTTCAGTCCCGTCTGACACACACACAGGGGATCCTAGGAAAGGGATATTGCAAATATGGGGAAGCGAGGCCTTGCCCTGGCCCAGGGCCATGGATTCCCTGAGCTAATGGGGCTTTTCCATCTCTCATATCTCTGTGTCTGTGACTCTGCAAAGAATAATAGTTATTCACATGTCAGCAATACACACTCCGAGTTACACCATGGCCTCTGACTGCTGGACTCCAGTGCTTATGATTCAGGAGTTCTCCCTTCCCTGTGTGGGGATCTGGCATGTTTCTAATGACACCTGCTGGTTTCCAATTGTCCCTGGGGGTGCTCAATCCCACGTCCCACCCCCACCACACCCCTTCCTCCATGCCACACCCCAGCCCAACTCTTCCTGCTCTCACTCCATCTCAACCCCCACCCTGCCTCTTCCCTGCCTCCCCTTGTGAGCACACTTCCTCCCCGCTCCTCCCCCTCCCTCCCAGCATCCCAGAACAGCTGATCGCAGCAGGTGGGAGGCGCTGGAGTGAGGGGAAGGAGTTGATTGGCAGGGCTGCTGGCAGGCAGCACTGAGCGTGGGAGCTGGCTGCCCTGAAGCACCAACTTATGTTTCTCATTCAGTCTCACCTGCAAAAATTCACTTGTTGGCTT